ATGCAACACCCGAAGTATTATATTTGTAGTGAAGTGAATTCTACATAGGATTTCTTTGCTAGAACTTATTAGAATTACGATCTTCGAAACTTAATGAGATAATCATAAATCCCAGGATGAAGTGAAACTGGTCATTTAATTGTCAACGAGGTCAAATATACTAGTGGATACGTCGCAAGTTTAGCCCAGGATGTAGTCAGTGAAATTAGAAAGGAAGTAAAGAGTGCGCCAATTCGCGTTGTTGCTCAATCAAATAATCGAGATGAAGAGTAAGTCAGACTTGATTGTTTCTTGGCTAATAGATCAATCTAGAATGGAATAACATCGAAAGGAGTTGATTACGACAATATTCGTTCATAAAATGTGTTTGATAGGAATAACATTAATTCGGTGTCGAATGAGAATGTTTTGACGGTTTCCGAAATAGGACGAATGCTATAATAATTATGGACAGACGATGAATATTTCAATTTTACCGCAACAAATATCTCAATTTTAGAAACAACGAACACATTTATTGGGCACAATATCAGAAACGACGAAATATTTATTTTCTTATAACATTTGTATTTGTAATTAGCACCCTATTACAGCATTTGCTCATTAATTAATGTAATTTGAAAACTGATCGTGGCACTGCATAAAAAATAGGCTTATCATATCACATTTCACTTGAATTACTAGAAAATGTTCACTTTTTTGGCATATATTAGGGACAAAAAATTTTCTTTAATGGACGGATATCGTAGATCAAATAACTGCGAATTTTCTGCTGTAATGCAATCAGTTTCATTCTTAATTTCTTGTTATCTCATTTTCACACGATTTTGTGAACTGTATGGGTTGGAAGAAAAAGTCATTGTGTAATATCTCACCATTTATTCCCGGTAATTCTCCAACAGTATTCCAACATTTTATTTATTCCCGGTAATTCTCCAACAGTATATCCAACAGATACCAGTACACACTATTGTGTGTACTGGTATCTGAATTAAATGGTGATAAATTGCAGATGAGTCCTGGGAAGAGATCTTTGTCAACGGTTATTCCCAGCAGTTCTCGATCAGTATTTTCCCACTTGATATTATAAGCGAAGCATTCGGTGACTTCCTGGGATTGGTCATCACTTGTCGTTATCGTCACTTGTTCCCAGTCATTCTCCGTTATTTTTTCGCTTTCACTGTTATATGTGACGTCGCCATTATGGCCAAACAATGTCTCCAAATCGTTGTATGTTTTCTGGCACAAAACAATGTCAGATGTATGATGACTATATTGGGTGGTGCGATCGTCGTCATCGAGCGTTTGCTTGCGTTTTCTATATTCACCACGATTCTCAATGGTCGCATCACATGCGGCATGAGGACGCTTACGACTTTGCTTTTTTGGGAAACTCCTCTTATAACATTTGTATTTATAATTAGCACTCAATTACATTATTTGTTAATTAATATAATTTGAAAACTGACCATAAAGATATCAATCCCATAAAATAGGCGTATAACATCGCAATTCACTTGAATTACTGAAAACTATTCACTTTTTCTTATATATATTAGAAGCGAAAAATTCAGTTTTAATATTACCTCCTGGTATTTCTCTATTAATATTATAATTTTTCGGGGCGACATTTTGTTCATGGCGAGGGTAATGAACGTATGTGGTAATAACATCTTTGTCGGGGTTAAGTAGAGAGGAAGTTTCATTATAAGCCAAAGTGACGCAAAGCAGAAGATTGAACCAAATGATCTGTGTCATTGACATAATAAAAAACAAGGTAAAATACAAAATTTTTAAAATAGTAGAGATGCTCGAGTAGAAGCCTTTTTATATCACATTAAATTGAATTAAACGACCAAAGGTTCGCAGCTTTTGATCTGTGCGATTCGCAATATTCCTCATATTTTTTTTCTCTTACATTCAAATTTCCTATCTCTAACTCGATAGTTGATGAATATGCTTTTAATCCCCAACGAAAACATACAAATTTATTCAGTTTTCACTTCTAATTTTGCAAAGCAAAAGGCAACTGTGGTGCTGAAATCGGTGATTTGTTATGATTTTTGAAAATTTTCAATCATCAGTCCTTTTCCCCAAATTCCGGGGGACAATTTCAGTTTCTGTTAATCTTGAATTTCACACGTTAAAATGTGTTCGAATTCACAATGTCTTCTTCCATTAAGGTACTAATTCCCGAAATATCCCGTAACGATGAAAAGAACGCGATTCATGATACCATTACTCATTGGTATTCACAATATACTATTAGCAACCCTTACGATTCTCACTGATTTCATGTTATTGTTTTAGAAGCAGCTATTGTTTAATTAATTTCGTTTCAGCACTTTGATCCGTATATTATTTTTGCATTTTTTAGGGCTCGTCCTTAGTAATTGCTTTTACATGGCTGAATTTGCTTTGAAAAAAATGAATGGTTAAAAGAATGTATCATAATATTCCTGAATAGCTGCATGAAACACGTCATTTTGTTATGACCTATTCCGTACCTGTACAGGAATCATTAGAAGAATATAATGTACAAAAATTGGCTGGAAGTTGGCCAGAAATCCTGAAAGTGATATAAAAGGTGTAATATTTGAATGAATGGAAAGTGGTGGAGAGTTTGCATTAAACGGATTGAATGAATTTTTAATTTGTACAATATTGAATAATCCTGCCTATGTTCTTTATTCTAATATTGGTACTGAATGATTTGCATATTGCTATGGGAATTTTTGGTTAATTTCTCTTTCAGCTAATTTTGCTATATAATGTCAAATCATGGTATTTCATTGATGTGATTCATCTTTTAGTAATTAATCGATTTGTAGTCAAAGATGTGCTTGCATATTTGTATCAGAAGTAAAACAAAATAAATCTCATGAAAATGGTTTAAAAAATGAGCTAAAAAGTCGAAATGAAGTAGAAATATGTGCTAGTAATTCTCTCGTAGTGAAACTTTGCGACCACAGCTTAAAATAGAATAAATGAAATTAAATCGTTGTAAATTAGAGTTTGGAAGTCAATAACTGATTTTTTGGCCTTGTTCACAACAATGAATTTTGAAAAATTTAAAGTGAAACACTTGTTAATAAAAATTAGAATAACTTTAAAGGACATTTTGAGAAAAAGTACTTCTTTAAAAATGTGTAGAAAGAATAGAAATAATCACCATCGAAGCAATGGAATAGGTAAAAAAACAATTTGATGAGGTCATCCAGGTCATGAATGAATCGCCTGTTCACAGTGGATGTCATTGCATTACTTATTAATCACTTCCTCTATGAAGTCTTCTGATTTGTGGTATTTTGCTTCCAAAATATTTCCATCATAAGACTCTGTTTCATCGTCCTCCTTCCCACAATTAAGCTTGAAACATTTTTAAAAAAAATTATTTGATTTAATCATTCGTCACCAACTTAATCATTTACTACTACCAGGACATATATCTCAATTTTCATTATATGAACAGGGAACGTGAAAATAAATTGTGGTTGCACGTACTAATTTATTCAAAGAATCCTGATTCACAAATAGTTCTTGCAACTTTCAAAGTTGAAAGCAAAATTTCTGAAGAGGAAAATTTGCAACATGAGAATCGATGTTTCTCATTTCTCTTCATCCATCTATCAAAATTTGGACAGTTTGTTCCACAAGATTTGCAAAATCAGGTGGTCTTTTTACAAGTCCTTTTCGGACGCGTTCATGATAATCACGAATATTGTCATCAATACCATTCACGTTACAGTTGTGCTCGGTACAAGCACATAATCGTGTAACATCACGATTCGTCGTACGCTCAATGCACGATCCTTCCTGAAATTATTCTTGACTTTTCCAACTTTTTTCCGCTTCAGTTCCACGGTAGAAAGAACTAACTCACTTCGCATATGTAATTGATAGTAATTGGTAGCAT